GTAGTTTACGCTGTACTTGTGCAAGTAGTTGGCGAGACCAAGCCACTTACACAAGTCCATCTGGTATTTTGGAACCGGCCAGTTTACAGTGGCCTTAATCTTAGCGAGATCGCTCGAAGGTCACGCTTTCCAATGAAGCACCCTAAAAAGGGAATCTCTTCTGTACAAAGATGCACTTGTCTGCATTTACGTACAGTTTGTTCGTACGCATGCACTCAAGCACAGCTTTTAAATGGACGATGTGGCTCTCCTCATCCGTCCTCCCGTGCTCCGCACGACTGTAAATAAAAATATGTCTGTGCATACGCCCTGTGGGGCCTAAAAACTGCGTCACAAGACGATTAAATGTTGCTGGCGTATTTGACAGCCCTTGTGGCATCACCAGCTACTCCCAGAGCATGCAGCTCGGAGTGCTTACCGCTGTCAGCGGAATGTCACTCGCTCTCATGAGCAATTGGTAATATCCATCGACAAGGTCGAGTGCACTGTACTTCGTACAACGCATCATGTCGTGTTGGAGAAATTTTTTTCTAGGATTCGGCATCTGTGCCGGAATGATGGCAGCGTTAAGCTTATTGTAAGCATGAACGATACGTCACTTGCCGTCTGGCTTCCGAACAGAAGACGTGGGTAACGAACGGGGAGACTTGCTCTCACGAACCATCCCTGCGTCTTGCTTCGCACGGAAAAATGGCGTCAATGGCGTCGCACTGCTCCTTGGGCAGGGGCCATTGGCTTGTTACGCAATATTTGGTTTCCGGAATTAGGTCGATCTCATGACGCATGCCTCGGTCCAGAGGTTGGACCGAGGGGGGTCTTTGAAGACGACGTCCTGAAATTCCTTTACCGAAGGATAGTACGGATCCAAGGGATTATGTAGGATCGACGTTTCAATCCGTGTGTTCGGCACTCTGTTGGTGTCCTCCAAGACAGCTTCAGCCAGAAGCGATGACGAGTTTATCTCCTCGTCCGGTCGTAAAATGACCACTTCGGCCAAATCGTCTGCCTTCAAGGCACTGCCGAACTCTTCAAGGGATATCTCGTCCATCTCAAGAC